GACTCCTAACTCCACTTTCACTCCTCGATGGCCTTATTCCTTCAGGATCCCAAGAATATGGTATTTTGAGGTAGGTATTCTAAGATTCTGACAATTTTGTTCAATTTAATAGCAACCTGATCTCCAGTGACTTAGATACCTCAGATATGAATAAGTCATGGTGCAAGCCCTGGAAGTTTGGAGCTGGGGGAATAGAGGGAGGAAGGACACAGAAATGTCCTGCAATGGGCTCTTCCTTGGTGTCCTAGCTCCCATCCTGGCCCCTCCCACTGCAGGGTTATTTCTGTGTGTTGTTTTTTGGGGTTTAAACTCAGGGCTTTGCACTTGCAAAGTGTGCTAGCACCACACCTCCAGCCCATTTTGCTCTGTTTATTTTGGAGATGGGGGTCTCACAAACTATTTGCCCAAGTTGGCCTTGAACCATGATCCTCCTGATTTCAGCCTCCCAAGCAGCTAGGATTACACAGTGCCCGGTTATGTCTGTGTGATTTTCTGTCCTTTTTGGGGAGCAAACTCTGGAGCCAGATGCTGCGGTTGGGTGGATATGGGAAATTCATTTCTCCTCTTTGTTCACTCTCTCAGTTTCTTCATCTCTATAATGGGTTATTTTGAGAAATAAACAGAATAACACGTGAAACCTTAGAACTGCGTGTAGCATAGTAGGATTCCAGAACTCCTCACTCGTTTTATTAACAATGGCAGGAACTGTTATCTGAATCATCATCAATTCTGAGTGCCAATCACAGTGCCTGGCACTCACCAGGGGTCCAGGAGTCATTTGTTGATGGGATGGATGAGTGAATGCATAGCCACCCCAACACAGACCAGAGTGCTGGCTCTGTGCTCTGGGAGCCCAGAAGAGGGCTAGGGATTTTCACTGTGGCCCAGAAGGGATTTCTGGTGGTAATCATGACAAGTAGGGGCCTGAAGCATGTATCCACCTTTGGGAGGAGCCCCAGGAAGTGGTGGACAACCATGCATACCAAGAGGCAGCACAGAATAGTTATTAAGAGCCCAGAGCTGGACTACTTGAGTTCGAATCAGCCTTAGTTATCTTTTAGTTATTTTTCCAATTTGGACTGAACTGGAACACAGTCCTCCTATTTATGCTTTTTGTGTAGCTGGGATGACAGGTGTGCACCACCACACCCAGCTTTTTTTATTGGTTGAGAGGGGGATATTGCAACCTTTTTGCCTGGGCTGGCCTCGAACTGTGATCCTTCCAAACCATCTCTCCAGAAGTTAGGATTACAGGTGTGAACTACCATGCCTGGCCTTGGAAATCTGCATTTTCCACAAGTTCCCAGGGGATACTGATGCTGCTAGTTCAGGGACCACAGTTTGAGAACCATGGCCTTACCCAGTCTGGGATACTAAGGTGGAGAAACAGTCACCATATCTCCACAAGCTTGTGCTGTGGTTTCTCTTCCATCTGGCACTTCATGCATTTACATGTTACTTTCCTGGCCCTGCTGTGCCTAAAGGTCAAAAGAGACAGAAGGGCCAGAGAGAAGATGTGTGTGTGGGGCGGGCTGAGTCCTATGTTGGCTGAAGCTGCATGTGTGAGCTCAGTCTCAGAAAGTGCAGTAGACATGGGGTGTAGGTGACAGCAGAATGTCAGGGGGCGCTGGCTCCCCCTGTCTTAAGTGAAAGGTAAAAGAAGAGTCAATGTTTAAGGAGGAGGCTGGAAAGAGCATTCAGAGAGGAAGGGGGAGAGCCCAGAAATTGCTGATGGAGGCTTCTTGACCTTACCATGGACAGAGAGAGGGCTGTTGGGGAACATCTGAGGCCAAAGCTTAAATAGTTAAACATGGAGTTCTCAGGTGAGCTGTGATCTGTGGAGGACAGGAAGCAGGTGTCCCGTTACCCTTGCTTGTAGCACGCTTGGTAACCTGCTGTTGCCTTCAGATACAGCTTGTTAGCAGTTGTCTCCAAGGCTCCAGTGGTAAAGGCTGAAGCTTGGAGCTAAGCATGGTGAGTCCCATGTCACCCAACTCCATTTTGTTGTTGCTGTTTTTGGCAACCTGACACTTCAGTTAGGGTAGAAATGTACTGGTCTTCTTGTGGCTGTGGTGGGGATGCTTGTGTCTGGATGGTTTTGGTTTTGGAGTCCGTGTTGGGGAACAGTGTCTGAGAAGGAAGGGTGGGAGCTGAAAGTGGTAGGCCCATGGCATCCAGTGGACAGTCTCAGGTTCAGACTAAGACATTTGCACTTGGTACGGTGGCAGTCAGGAGCCACACTGAGCTCCAGTTGGGAGATGTGTGGTTAATACACCTGGGTAGCCCCCAGTGTCTGGTGCCTGGCAGGGTCCAAGCAGGCAAGCTTTGAATGAGGAGGGAGGGAGTGACTAATGATAGGCAGGATACTCTGAGCCCAAGTCAGTGTTGTTCAAGTTCCACAGGCTTGTAGAATTGCACTTTGACTCACGTCTCCCTAGCTGGGCGAGACACTTCACCTCGCCAGACCCCAGTTTCATCGTTTGGGAAATGGAATAAATAACACCGCAACCCTGAGCTCCTACACAGCTTTGTGTGTGGCAAGCCCTGCATTGTGTGGGTGTCATGTCGATGCTGACGCTGAGTTTCTCCCCTCACTTCACCGCCACTTCTCACAGTTTGTGGGAAATAGGCAGGGCTGGCCTGTCCTGTGTTTCCTAGATTAAAGGACAGAGCTCAGTGCAGACAAGGGCTTTCCTGGAGCCCCTTTCCCTCTGTCAACCCAGTCCATGACCTTTTCTCTCTTGCCAAGCAGGCATTCTTACTGCTTGAGCCATTCTGCCAGCTGTCTTCTCTCACTTTCAATTGCACATAAATGTCTGAATCATGTGATCTAGAAGGAACTTAATTGAATGGGGTAACATCTACTTCTTGTCTTAGTAAGAACCTCAGTTCCTCAAGGGCAGAACTTGTATTTTCTTTCTTTCTTGTTTTTTTTAAAGTGGTACTGGGGCTTCAACTCAGGGCCTTGGGCTTGCTAGGAGGCACTTTACCACTGAAACCACACCCAGGGCCCTATTTGTTTTAGTTATTTTTCAGATAGGGTCTCATGTTCCTGTCCAGGAGTGGCCTTGAACCACCATCCTCCTATCAAAGATAGCATCCTAAGAGAGCTGGGATTACAACCTTGAGGTACCACACCTGCTTTGTTTGTTGCCATGGAGTCTCACTAACTTTTTGCCTAGGCTGTCCTCAAATGATAATACTCTTGATCTTCCCCTCTGGAGTATTTGAGATTATGGGAGTTAGCCAATGTGCCTGGCCATATTTTCTTTCTTTTACAAAGTAATAAAAGTAATAGATGATGATGGGAAGAACTTTGAACAGTATAAAGAAGGTGGAAAAGAAAAATAGAAGTTCTGTGCCCTCCATCTCCATTTCCTAGAGTAGCCACTGCTTACAGCATTTTGTCTGTCTTTCCAGAAAGTCTGTGCTTATAAAATCATGTATCTAAATGAATCTCATGTATGAATAACAAGTGAACATATTTTATATAATCACAACAGACACAAGTCAATTAAATTGTCACTGGCCTATCTATATATCTACCCATCTACTCATCACCATTTGTCTGTTAAATGAACAAGTTATTTATCCTCATTTCACACTCAGCCTCTCCTCTCTCATAGGGAACCATCAATGCAAGATATGTGTATGTGTGTGTGTGTATGTATGTGTGTGTGTATATATATATATATATATTATTAGGGGTGTGTGAGTATATATATATATATATTGTGATTATATTAATATATTCTTAAAGCAGAAGCTCAAGTATACATATGTGTGTATAGACATGAAACTATTGTTCCGTATCAGAGCGTAGAAAGTTACCTTATATTTATCACTGGCTGCATAGTACTTCATTATATAGAAATACCATTTGTATCCTTTGTTGTATCCTGTGCTTTCTTATATTTTTCTTGTACTTTGCTTTTATAAGCAATGCTACAATAACAATTTTTTTCACAAGCACCTTTATGCATAAGAGTTTGTCTAAAGGGTAAATTGTAATTTTTTTCAAAAGAACCTATTTCATTTATCTGCTTAGCTATCTATGCACTTATTTACTTATTTATATGCAGTGCTGAGGATCAAACCCAGGGCCTCCTAAATGCTAGACAAGTGCTGTACTACTGAGCTACAGCCCAACCCAAATTATAAATCTTAGTAGTGGAATATTTGTTTTAAATTTCCATTGACAAAGTGAAATTACTGTTCAAAGAGACAGAGAACAACTTCTAGGCCTCTCAAGAGCCTGGAGAGTGGCATCTGAGTATTTGGCAATGAATGGAAGCTCTTTTCTGGCAGGGCAGACATCAGTTCATTTACACTGGACTAGAGAATTTGGTCACGTGATCACATATTAGCGCAGGGGAAACTGGGAAATGTAGTTCACACCTGCCGGCACTAGAATCGTGTATTACAGGAGAAGGAAGGGGTGGGGAGAAAGAAGGGGTGGGGAGAAGGAAGGGATGAGGTGGACATTGGGCGGCTCTGCCACCCATGGCAAGTTGTGCTTTATTCTGAGGTGAATGTAGGGTAGCAAAAGGACCCACTTACACATTTGACAGTTTTCCTGACAAAATTCTCTGCTGTGCACCGGGAGGGGTTTGTTGAGGGTCCCCATGTGCCAGGTTGGGTGTATCACCAGCCTCATTCCTCACCATAGTCCTGCTAAGTGGGTCCCCTGGTCCCCCACCGACACAGGAGGCTCATGGGAAGGGGATTGCTGTAGGTGGAGGATTCGGATGCATATGGGTGGATGGCAAGGCACAGACTCTACCTTTCACAGTGTGGCCTCGGGGTCAGGCTGGGTGCCCACCAGGCAGCTGCTGGGGAGACCCCTCACCTCTCCGCACTTAGGCTTTTGTGGGCCAGGTGACACCCTGCCTGAACTTGAACTCTTTTCCATTTTGCAGGCCCTCTTTCAGCTCCTTGGCCAACTGCCGTGGCCTTGGTGGCACCCTACCCCGGTGGTCAGCCCTGGCCTTCCTCCGCCCATGCAGCCGTCAGCTGCCACTGCTGAGGGCCTCAGCGGCCCCCTCTTTGGGGCCTACACGCTCCCCACCTTCAAGTTCCAGCCTCGCCGTGAAAGCATAGACTGGAGGCGCATTAGTGCCCTGGACGTGGAGCGCGTGGCCCGGGAGCTGGACGTGGCCACCCTGCAGGACAACATCATCGGCGTCACCTTCTGCAACCTGGACCGCGAGGCGTGCAGCCGCTGCGGGCAGCCAGTGGACCCCGCGCTGCTCAAGGTGCTGCGCCTGGCTCAGCTCACCATCGAGTACCTGCTGCATTGCCAGGACTGCCTGAGCGCCAGCGTGGCCCAGCTGGAGGCCCGGCTGCAGGCCAGCCTGGGCCAGCAGCAGCGCGGCCAGCAGGAGCTGGGCCGCCAGGCCGACGAGCTTAAGGGCGTGCGCGAGGAGAGCCGGCGGCGGCGCAAAATGATCAGCGCCCTGCAGCAGCTGCTGGTGCAGACCGGGACGCAGAGCTGCCACGCGGTGAGGAGCCTGTGGTTGGGGGAAGAGAGGGGACGTGCACCCTCAGCTGGCTTGTGATTCCAGGCCTGAAGCATGTGGCCCGGTTCTACAGTGGGTGTGTGGACTGCACATGTGAGAGATGTGTGTATGGGAGGGTGTACATGGAGTGTGTGTGTGTTTATGGGGAAGGTGCTAGTGAGCTACTCCACCAGCCCATAATGTGTGTTTTTGCTAGTGTATCATGGTGTATACAACTCAGGAGTGTATGCAGAAAGGTATACATATGGTGTGTGTTTGTGTGTGAAAGAAGGAAGGGTATGAATGTGTTTGCATTTAGGAAGGGTGCCTAAGGATGTGTAGGTGAATGAATAAAGGATAAACAGCATGTGTGCGTAAGGATGTCTGTATTTATGGAGCATGTGAATGTGTGTGTGTGTATAACAAAAGATGCTTTTATCAAACCGGATGTGGAGGTGCACACCTGTAATCCCAGCACTGGAGAGGCTAAGGAAGGAGGATTGTGAATTTGAGATCAACCTGAGCTACAGCAAGACCCAGCTCTCAGGTCCACCATTCTGTTCAGCAGGAAGGGATGAGGAATTAACGGCATGTTTCTTTTTTAAGTGACATCTCCCAGAAATTGCAGATCCCATTTCTGCTTACAGTTGTCACCTGAATTTAGTCACAGGGCCACATTTGGTTGCAAGAAGACTGAAGTATACCATGTTTATTCTCTGCCTTCCTGTTCAGCTAAAAATCAGTTTCTATTACCAAGGAAGAAAGGGAAAATGGTGAGTGGGGGAACGACTGACAGTTTCTGTCACGTTTGCCTTTGTGCAAAGATAGCAAGTCATTGTTCTTCTCACTCTGACTTACTGGGAATGGCAGCTAAAGCTGTGCTGAGAATTCCGAGATTCTTCTGAAGTTCTTCACATCAGTGAAGACGATGTGCCAGACAGACCAGTCCCGATCCCCTCCAGGAGGGATGCGGAATTACAGACGCTCTTTCTTTGCTATCCTCTGCCTCTGGTGGGTCTCAACTCAGGGTGGAACCTAAGCATTGGTACTTTTAAACAAGACTTTTTTACGATGGAAACTTGGAAACACATACAAAAGCAGAGGATACCATCCTGGACCTTCCTGTGCGTACCGCCTGACGGTCAGTGCTGCTGCATCTGGCTCCCTCCCCACCTCTTGGGCCCCACTCTTGGATTGTCTTGAAGCCTAGCAGTGGTTCTGTCCACAAGGTTTCACTCTGTGTTTCTAACAGGCAAGAACTGCTGCCTTTCAACAGAAACACAACACCATCATCACACCCTGAAAAGTCATCAGACATTCCTCAATGTCTTCCAATACCCAGTGGGTTTCCATGGTGGGATTACATCACTGCTGAACTCAGTAAATTAAACTCTTAATGATTTCTTCTCCTCTCCTTGGCCCCATTCTCCTCCTCCTCCCCTTCCTCCTCCTCCTCCCCTTCCTCCTTATCCCCATCCTCTTCCTTCTCCCCATCTTCCTCCTCTTTCTTCTCCTCCCTATCCTTCTTCTCTTCCTCCTCCTCTTCCTCCCCCTCCCCAGCTCCCCTGTCCTCCTCTTCTCCCCATCTTTCTTGTCTGCCTCCTCCTCTTCTTCTTCTTCTCTTGTCATTCTCCCAGTGCTGGGGATTGAACCCAGGGCCTCACACTTGCTAACCATGTCCTCTACCACATAGCCATAGCTCCAGCCTCTCCAATTATTTGTTTCTGAAGCAGCCCAGGAGTCCCAAGGGGATGGATAGCCACATAGGGAAATTCCCAGGCTGTGTCAGGGGATCTCATCCTTCCGTCTCCATTGCTTCTTCCCCTGTGCATAGTGCCACCTGTGTGACAAGACGTTCATGAACGCCACCTTTCTCCGGGGCCACATCCAGCGCAGGCACGCAGGCATGGTGGAAGGTGGTGAGTCCGGCAGTGGTGGGGACCCTGCTGGTATTCAGTGGGTGGGAGGCATATGTTCATCTGAGTCTGTCCTTAGACCCTCACCATCCAGGTGAGGATGGGGATCCCAGCACCGCCTGTGGTGCTGTGGTCCACCTGGGGCTGGACCAGTTCTTAACCCCTGTGTGGAAGAGGAGTCTGACAGGTGGGTCCCCTCCTAGCTTTGTCCCTTTCTGGGATGACCTCAGTCAGTGCTTCTGCTCTGAGTCCTGTGCCCTTTACAGAATGGGACAGAGGGCTCCTGCCTCCCAGCCTCTGCACTCTGCACCCTGAGCCTGGCATGAGTCACCTGAAATGGGACAAAGGAGCCGTCAGACCAGTTCTTGTCTTTCCTCTCTCCGTACTTATCACGACTTACTTTATTTAATTTTACCATTTCAAATTCCAAAATAAGAAATAAGGCTGTGGTTCAAATAAGGAGATTTTCACACTCTGCATCTATTTTTTTGAGGTTCAACAGAAATATCTGTAAAATGAAAAAAAATGATATAAATACAAAAATCCCATTAGGGACAACTTTTTTTTTTTTCAGTTTTCCATCATTTTAATTCTCTTTTCAAAACCTTTTAAAAACAGTATCATTTACTACCTACTATGCATTTATTATGTATCTAATTCTTATTGGTTCTGCATTGGAAGTTTCTAAGGAAAAACAGATTTTCAAGGCCTTAAATATTTTTGTGGCACTGCGGTTTGAACTCAGGGCCTGTGCTTGCTGGGCAGGCACGCTACCTTTTGAGCCACACCACCAGCCCTTTTTGCTTTATTTTTTGAATAGAGTTGCTCATTTGTGCCAGAGCCAGCCTGAACCACAGTCTTCCTATTTATGCTTCTTGTGTGGCTGAGATGACAGGCGGTCACCACCACACCCACCTTTTTTATTGTTTGAGATGAGGTCTCTCTAACTTTTTGCCCAGACCAGCCTCAAACTCATCTTCCCAATATCCTCCTCTGGAGTAGCTAGGATTACAGGCTTGAGCTACCACTCCCAGCCTTTTATAGAAACTTTAAATATAAGAAGGTAGGAAAGTGAGAGTAAAAACAATGGACAGTATATTTAGAAGTTAACATTTTGGTGTATTCTCAGTTTTTTGTTGAACGTATATGTAATATAATATGCAGCTTTACTGTTGCTTATTCTCACTTAAGGATATGTTGATTTTTCAACGTCATTAAATCATCTTTGCTGTTATTTTTAATTAATTATTTTGATGGTACTGGAGTTTGCACCCAGGGCTTTGCACTATTTGCTGGGTCAGTGCTCTACTCTTGAGCCATGTCCCCTCCGCATTAAATCACCTTTGAAGATGTGATTTTTAATGGTTGCATGGTATTCCATCACGAGGCTGTCATAAGTTATTTCACAATGTTCTGTGCATAGATGGGTTACTCAAAATGTCCTGATTACTTCCCCAGGATGGTTGATATTCTCACACGTAAATCATCGTGCTTATCTCTGAACATTTCCTGAATGCAACAAGAGGGAAGATATGTTCTCACAACAACTTTCGCTGTGTTACTGTTTGTGACTTTTTATTCTTAGGCAGCTGACTTTCCCTGAAATCACTACTCCATCTAAAAATTTCTTGTTTCCAAAAGTCCCAACTGCGAAAAGCTGTATCTCTTTTCAAAGGAAAGGTTTAGAATTTTAGTAACAGTACTCCCTACCAAGAAATCATCAAGTACTTTAAAAAGTAACAAATGTTACTTTATAATTGGTGTCTTTTTCACTGACCCGTAAATCTTGCTTTTTCTGTACGTGGTTTAGTTTTTATAATTCATTCTGAGTCATTTTTAATTAAAAAATGTAAAGCAATGGAGCCAGGCTCCAGTGGCTCATGCCTGTTATCCTAGCTACTTGGAAGGCTGAGATCCAGAGGATTCAGGTTCAAGGCCAACACAAGCAAATAGTTTGTGAGACCTCCCCCCACCTCCAAAATAACCAGAGCAAAATGGACTGGAGATGTGGCTTAAGCAGTACAGCACCTGCTTTATAAGTGCAAAGCCCAGAGTTCAAATCTCAGTGTCACACAAAAAGTAAAATAATGTTGAGAGGATGTTGAATGTTCTTACCACAAAAATGAAAACTGAGGTAAGATCTCTGTTGCTCAGTTAGATTTGCCTATTCCACAATGTGCAGATACTTCAAACATCATGATACATGTGATAGATTTAGGCAGATTTAACTGTCAGTTAAAAAATAATTTGAATGGAATTTTATGCAGCCATGAAGAAGAACGAAATGTTATCATTCACTGGTAAATGGATGGAATCGGAGAACATCATTCTGAGTGAGGTTAGCCTGGCCCAAAAGACCAAAAATCGTATGTTCTCCCTCATATGTGGACATTAGCTCAAGGGCAAACACAACAAGTGGATTGGACTATGAGCACATGATAAAAGCGAGAGCACACAAGGGAGGGGTGAGGATAGGTAAGACACCTAAAAAACTAGCTAGCATTTGTTGCCCTTAACGCAGAGAAACTAAACCAGATACCTTAAAGCAACTGAGGCCAATAGGAAAAGGGGAACAGGAACTAGAGAAAAGGTTAGATCAAGAAGAATTAACCTAGAAGGTAACACCCACGCACAGGAAATCAATGTGAGTCAATGCCCTGTATAGCTATCCTTATCTCAACCAGCAAAAACCCTTGTTCCTTCCTATTATTGCTTATACTCTCTCTTCAACAAAATTAGAGATAAGGGCAAAATAGTTTCTGCTGGGTATTGGGGGGGGAGAGAGGGGGCGGAGTGGGTGGTAAGGGAGGGGGTGGGGGCAGGGGGGAGAAATGAACCAAGCCTTTTATACACATATGAATAATAAAAGAAAAATGAAAAAAAATTTTGAAGTATACCCTTAAAGAAACCATGGTTCAAATGTTTCTTCCATGCTGTCTTCTTCTTATTTTTATTATTTGAAATTTATAACTTGACATTTAAATTATACTATATAGCTGGACACGGTGGTTCACACCTGTAATCCCAGCTATTTTAGAGGTAGAGATTGGGAGGATCAAGGTTTAAGGCCAGCCCGGGCAAAAAATGAGAGAACCCTGCATCTCAGACCAATAAGCTGGGTGTGCTGTTGTAAGTTTATAATCCCAGCTATGTGGGAGGCATTGATGGGGGACTGCAGTCCAGGCTAGCCTGGGCAAAAACATGACACCCAAGGTGGAAAACAACTAGAGAAAAAAGCTCGGGGGTGGCTCAAGTGACAGAGCACCTACCTAGCAAGTGCAAGGTTTTGAGTTCAAACACTAGTACTGCCATAAATAAATAAATAAATAAAACTATTCCTGAAAAAAGTGACCTTAAAGCTACAATCATTTCTCATTACTTTAAATAATGTTTTTGCATTAATAGTCGGACATGCACACTCTTTGGTATAGTTTCTGATATTCTAGTCACTTTGCATTTCCTCTGCCAGTTCTGTGACAGTGCAGTGACAGTTCTCATGTGTGAGTTGCCATGCAGACTGCACTCAGCCCTTGGTGTTGCCACGTTTTGTCCTCATGGCACCCCTCTGAGCTGGGTGCTGCTCTGTGTCCGTTTTTCAGTTTGGGGAGACAGAGGCTGGGGAGGTGATGTTCTTTATCTAAGGCCAGCGGACCCGGTGGCAGAGCTGTCACAAACTGCGGTGACTGCAGAGGTGAGAAACTGCTCTCTTGCTTTTTCTCCCTCTCTTGCTACCCCCAGGGAAGAAGCAGCAGGAGCAGTCATGGGTGGACTCACTGGAAGAGCTGCGGGCCAAGCTCAAGTGGACCCAGGGGGAGCTGGAAGCCCAGAGGGAGGCCGAGAGGCAGCGGCAGCTACAGGTGGGCATGGATGGGACACATGGGGACACTCAGGTCACAAGCTTCCCACGGGGCTGGAATTCCCACTGGTCTCCCAACCCTGTGAGGATCCTGCTTCCATGTGGCAAATGATTTTTTACGTAGTCTGGAAAGGAATATCAAATTATTTTGCTGGACCTGTGTGTCCAAAACTGCAGAGTTGCAGTTCCTGCATCAGCACCTGCTGAAGGCATTTGAACTTGAAAATAGCTTTACTGGGATTTGAACTCAGGGCCTTGCGATTGCTAGGCAGGCACTCTACCACTTGAACCACTCTGCCAGTCCTGAATAGAACTTCTTATATTACACTGTGAGTTTGCTTTTTAAGCACAACTGAAAGTTGCAAAACTTGGCTTGAAAATATTTGCAGAATGAAAACACATGAGCTCATCCTACTCCCTCCTTCCCTCTTCCCCTCTCCTCCTTCCCTCCTCCCCTCTCCTCCTTCCCTCCTCCCCTCTCCTCCTTCCCTCCTCCCCTCCCCTTCTTTCTTTCCTTCCTTCCTCATCCTCTCAGCATGCATTTATTAAGCACCAACTATGCCAGGCATCATGAGGAATATAAAGAGAGAAAACAAGTCCTTACCTTCTTGGGAACTTTGCAATTTAGGTAAGACTGGCTTAGAATGGAGCAAACCAGTTCCAAACAAGGAGACTGTGGGATGTGTGTTCTTTGGGTCCCCAGAGTACACAGGGGGATGTGGAATTAATGATTATCTTGTTCTATTTTATTTTTATGGTAGGAGCTGGAGATTGCTCGTCAGAGGGAAATAGAAGCTAAGAAAGAATTTGATGAATGGAAGGAAAAAGAACGGAGCAAGCTCTATGGGGAAATAGACAAGCTAAAGCAATTATTTTGGAATGAATTTAAAACTGTGGCCAACCAGAACTCCTCGCTAGAAGAGGTACCTAACACAAAAAGCTTTCAAATCGCTTCTGTTGAAAACCTGCTTCTGTGTTCTAAAAATTCATTTCTTGGTCTGCACTGTTATTTCATCTGCTCTGGAGACTGATACGTGGTGAGGCGGATATTAGAGGCCAGGGTCACCACTGCTCTATTGCATACTGGCTGTGTGACCTTGGGTGAGTTACTTAACCTTCCTGTGCCTCAACTTGTTTTCTGAAAGTCAGGTTGCTGAAAGGTTGAAATGAGCAAAGACAGTACTTAACAGTGTCTGGTGTTCAGTAAGAACTCCCCTTGATACTGATCTTATTTTGCTAAAGTTTTCATTACTGGACAAGAAGTGAGGCAAACTTTAAATGAACACATGTTTCCTTGTGCTCCTGACACATATTCTCTGAGTTCTGACACGCTAGACTCTGTTGGGACTTGTGAGGTCTGTTGTGGTCACACATAACAGCTTATATTTACTGACTATTTCACTAGTCACTAGTTTCTTCTTTTTTTAATTTTTGTTGGTATGGTGTTTGAATTCAGGGCCTCACACTTGCTAGGCAGATGCTCTACCACTGGAGCCACTCTGCCAGACCTTTTTTATGTTTGGTATTTTCGAGATAGGGTCTTGTGAATTATTTGCTGGGGCTGGCTTTGAACCTCCTCTGACTCTTGATAAGCTAGGATTACAGGCATGAGTCATTGGTGCCTGGCTCATTTCTTTTTTAAAGTATCCTTTTTTTTTTCTTTTGAAATACCTAAAGTGTTTTTTCCCCCCTTGCTACATAACTCAGGCTGGCTTCCTGTCTCAGACTCCTGAGTACTGGGATTGCAGGTGTATATCACTATGCCTGGCTAAGTTCCATTTTAAAGTTTTTTTTTTTTTTAATTTTTTAAAAAGTTATTACATTCCTTATCCACAGGCAAAGAAATTGAAGCCACATAACTTGCTTAAGTTCACACAGCTAGTAAGAATGGAACTGGGTTTAGTTCTTTAAGTTCCAAAGTCTTGGGCTAAGAGTGTATTTCAAGTGGTAGAACACCTGCCTAGGAAGTTTGAGGCCCTGAGTTCTAAATGCTAATACTGCCAAAAAAAACCCAACAACAACAACAGTATATAAATATGAACCAAGTTGAATATAAGATTCTCAATGCAGTTAGATGATTATTTTGTTCATTCTTTTTTTTTTTTTTTAAATTCTGGGGGTTGGGGGGAACTAGGTAAGGGTCCATTTAGAATGACTGCAAAAAGTACTGGAAGACAGTCGATCTTCAGAACTCCAGAAAATAGTCTCCTTCATGTTAGGCGAGCCAGTAGAGCTAAATGCATTTTGAAAATATTTCCCCAAACTTCCCCTGGAACAGAAGTCTGAGTGCTTACTTTGGCTGAGCTGCCTGACTGCAGAGAGAATGTTAGATTCCACAGGGCGAAACCAAACACTCACAGGAGTCTTTAATAGAAAGGCAAGTGCCCTGAAGGTTTGTCACACAAGAAGCCAGCTCTATGGTGGTCATAGCAGTGGCCTGGAAACCAGAGGTGACATGTCAGAAACACCCCGGTTGTGTATGCGCCTGGCAAGATGTATGATGAAAATATTCAAATTTCGATACGATTAACACGTGGTCCCAGTAGTGCTTCAGCGGCTCCTGGGAGAGTTAGCAGGAATGGTGCCAAGTTAAACTCAGCGGCTTGCAGGGGGTTTGTTTTAAAAGCTGTAATAGGGCTTCTTGTAAGTTTTATGTAGTGAAGAGATGGCTATGCGTTGTTTTAGTTCATGCAATAAAGATTTAAAAATTGTAAAAAAATAACCATAGATGGGTGGAAAGTTCCTCTCTCTGATCTCTGTGCCTTTTCTTTAGGTTATACACTGCTAAGTTAGGAATCACCAGGTATTGGTGACACGGCTCTGAGCAGAGCCCTTCCTGGGGATAGTCAGGGTTTTTTTTTTTATTTTGAGGGATGAGGGTGGGCTGGGAGAGGAGCAGGAGTCCAGGGAGTGGCCTGGGGAGCCTGACACCCTCCTGAGGGCTTTAACAGTCTGGTTCTCTTAAGCTTATTCCAGACGTAGGGAGACAAGGGACAGGAGTTGGGTGAGCTAGGGGTTTTGAGCATAGCAGAATTTCAGTGGAACCAAAGCGACCCTCTTGAACTCTGTTCTGTGTGGGACTTGAGCCTGGGGAGAACCCTGGGGAGGGGCATACTGTAGCTGCTTAGTGAGGGTGGGGGTGGGGTGGGAGGGATGGTGGGGTTGGTAGTGAGTGTAAGATGTGCTCTCTGACATGGTATTGGGGAAGGTATAATAAGTTATAAAGCCTCAATCTGTAAATAAGTACAACAATGCTGGCCTTTTCAGAAGCTTCAGGCACTGAAGTCCCACAGTGTGACAGAGTCCCATCTGGGATCACTGCGGGATGAGGAGTCTGAGGAGCGGCTCCAGCAGGCACAGGAGCTCCAGGCCCTAAGGGAGAAGATGGAGGTTCAGGTGAGCCAATGATGCTCCATGCTGTTCTTTCCAGAGCAAGCCAAGAACCTTGCCAGCCCCAGCAAGGCCTTTCCTTTTCGCTCTGTGGATTGAAGAAGTTGAAAGACATCAAAGGTCTGTATTTTCAGATCTTGCACCAATCAGTACACGAAAGCATAGAATAAGCCTTAGGCGAGACTGTTGATGTGTACCATATCCAATTTGCCTGCTATGTGCAAACATATATAAACCATGTGCAAACCATATACCCCATCTGCAGACACAGACATACAAAAACATATGGGTCTCTTATTTGACATCTTTGTCCCTGGTTTTTTTTTTTTTTTTTTTTGGTGGTACTCGGGTTTGAACTCAGGGCCTCATAGCTTGAAAAGAAGGTGCTCTACCACTTGAACCATGCCACCAGCTCTTTTGTCTCCATTTTTATTCTAACCTAGTAGAAAACAATTGACAATCCAGCCTTCTGGATTGAAGTATTTGGGGCGGATCCAGTGATGTGTTTGGAAATGTATAGCAGTCAGCTTTCTGGAGCTAAGGAAAAGGCTCCAGTTTGTAGCATAGGCCAGATTCTGTGGGGTGTATACTCCCACCATGGAAGTGCCATCAATTTGAGGTCATGGAGCAGGGAAAACTTGTGCACCATCTCACCATCTGCTCTGGCCACCACTGGGTGAATCTTGCCAGAGAGCAGTTGGCGGAAGTCCATGTCACTGCTGATCCCACCACAGGGATGGGCAATTGGTAGAGCATTTTTTGTTTGTTTGTTTTTGATAGTACTGGGGTTCGAACTCAGTGCTTGCTAGGCAGGCGCTGTATCACTTGAGCCACATGCCCACCAAGCCTTTGATAAGCTTTTAATCCTTTTCAGAAAGCAGAGTGGAAGAGAAAAATGAAGGAACTGCAGAAGAGCGTGCCTTGGAGAAGCGAGAGGTAGGTGTCCTTGGGTGTCTTGCTTTTCCATGGCCTCCTCTCTCAATTCAGCATCCCTCCCGTCTCCTCCCGGCCCACCTGTAGCTGGTTAGCAGGTATTTTTTGTTCCTGATATTGTCCCTGGTTGCTGGCCCCCACCAATACCCGGATGGGGTCAGCTGTGGGACAGGGACCACCAGGCCTTGTCCTCTGAACCCAGGGCATCCTTTGCTCAGTGCTGCCCCCTTCAGGCCATCTTGTGCTGTAAGCCTCAGATGAGTCACTCATGCGGTCTCTTTGAAAACCCTCCCTCCTAGAGAGAGCCAGGTGGCCTAGATCTCAGTGATATTTCAGGAGAGTCCAAATGAAGAACTCAGATCTGAGCCCAGTGACCAGGAAGCAGGAGGCCCAGGGTAATGCAGACTGCTCTGTGCACTTGCCCGCCAGGAGGGGGCCAGCTGAGGGGAAAGCTGGTCAGCAAGAGCCCCACGTTCCACCCGCAGGAAGCCCAGAGGGCGACAAGTCCCAGACCAGAGCTTGGCCTGAGGCAGATGCCTGTCACCCTTCATGTGATGTTTTTACTTTGAAACATTTTAAAATGGGAAATGCGTTTAAATTTGTTCCAAAAGCTGAAGAAATATATTAAGGTGCACTGAGTAAAGTCATTCTCACCTGTCCCCAGCTACCTGTCCCAAACCTCCGCCCAAAGGAGATGACGTATATTGCTTTCTTATATATTTTAGAGTTTTTGCAAATATTAATAGTCACTTTATTTCCGCTCTTACTCAGAGGTGGCACGTGAACACATTTTCTTCACTTGTTGTTTTTACCTAAAAACGTGCATTTGATTTCTGAATGGTCTCAGTGTACCTGCATGTACCTCAGTAGGTGACCACATCTGACAGACTGCACTTTGTCCCCTGGTCTTAGGATTTGTGTTTCATTCTTACTTCTCCTCAGGCACAGTTCAAAAATGTGCCCAACCTGGAAGGCAGATGACTTTGTTACAAAGCCACCTGCTGGCCTAGAAATCCTCTGTCTTGCTTCAAGTGACACCCTCCACCAGCTCCTTCCTATGGGGGGCAGGTCCTGCAGGCGCGAGGCTCTCAGAGGTCCCTGCAGACATTGGACTGAGCAACAGTTCTGTGCCACCAGCTGCAGGAGGAGAACAAGCGGCTGCAGGCCTCGCTGTCTCAGGATCAGAAGAAGGCAGCCGCCCAGGTCCAGCGCCACATCAGCGTCCTGCGCGCCAGCTTCAGGACCAAGCTAGGATGATCGCCTCCCAGGAGGAGATGGTAGGTCTGTCCTCCTCCCGCCATGCTTGCTGTCCCAGGACTCTTTTCCGGTGAGGATGGCTTTGGATTCTTCTGGGCTCACTGGTGTGGCCTCGTTAGGCTCCTGAAGGGGAAAGTAGAGGGGGCGTGAGTGGCACAAAGTGATGTAGTGACCTCCCTCCAGACCAAGAAGGGCCACCTTCCTTATAGGTTGTGGGCAGCTGGGCTTACCTGACACCAGAGACTGGGTGTAGACACTTTACTTATGAGGTCATTTAGATCTCACTACTGCGCCTTTAAGGTAGGTGTCACCTTTTCTGACCAATGTTGAAATAGACTCAAGTCTGCAGGGGACTCTAAAAGTGACAGGGGCGAGAGTCCCCCCTCACCAGGCAGCAAATGCAAAGCTTGTGCTCTTTACACTGTATTCTCAGATACAATTTCTTTCTTTCTTTTTTTTTTGGGGGGTCAAACTGAGCTTTTGAACCCAGGGCCTTGTGGTTGCTGGGCAGGAGCTCTACCACTTGAGCCATGCCTCCAGCCCTTTTATTACTTTTTTCCTTTAGTTATATTTCAGATAGAGTCTTGTGTTTTTGCCTGGGCCAGCCTATCCACCACATCTCCCATGTAGCTGGGATTATGGATAAGCATCACCATGACAAGGTTGTTTGTTGAGATGGGGGTCTTGATTACTTTTTGCCCGGGCTGACCTCAAACCATGGTCCTTCCAATGTCTGCCTCCTAAGTAGCTGGAATTTCAGGTGGGAGCCACTGCGCCCAGCTTCAGACCCAATTTCTTAACCAATCCATTCTTCATGAATGAGCACCCAGTGAGGTTACCCAGTAAGCCAGCCTAAGGAAAATTTGCTCAGTCTCTAAACATCTTTCTTCCCAATGGATAGTTGTCAGCTTGGCCCAGGCTCAGCTTCCCTCCCGAGCCCCAGGTCTGTGGGAAAGTGCTAAAATTCCTTCTGAGGCCTTGAGTCCCTCCATAGTTCTGACACCCACTGCCTCATGGACCAGCCTCCACACAGCTGCCTGGGGCTGTGGAACCACTGTCACGGGTCCCTCACCCCTGATGGCTGTGCTTTTCTGCCCCCACGCCACACGCCACCAGTCCACATATCCACCCCCTCCCTGCTGCTTCCGCCCCACAGCACTTGGCTCTTCACTGCGGTGGCCCCCTTGGGGCCAGCCTGGAGGCATCCTCCTTCTCTTTCCTAGAATGCTCCTTTGCAAATATTTCAGTTAGGAGCTTGCTGGCTCCAGATAACAGAACAAGTCCACAGCAGTTTATTTTTATCCTAACACACAAATCGGTGGCCGTTGCTGGCTGTGGTTAGCAGCAAAGTTAAGCCTTTGGGAATCCAGGCTCTATTTTAATTTTTACAGTGTTTAATGTAGTTTTGTGAGCATGCTCAACACTCACAGTCATAATGAAGTAGCTGCTAGAGCCCCAACCATTGCAGTCATGTTCGATGGAGGATGTTGATGAGAAGACCACTTCCCAAGACTGCTCCTGGTAGAGTATTGGTCAAAGCAGTGAGCCAGGTGCCCGTGGCTCACACCTGTAATCCTAGCTACTCAGGAGACCAAGATCAAGAGGATCATGGTTCAAAGCTACCCTGGGAAAATTGTTTTCAAGACCCTATCTTGAAAATACCCAACGCAAAACAGGGCTGACGGAGTGGCACAAGTGGTAGAGCACGTGTCTAGCAAGCGTGAGGCCCTGAGCTCAAACCCTAGTGCTGCCCAAAGTAAATAAAAGCAGGGTCACAGAGGATTGGGAAGAGGCAGAATTGCTTTTCCAGTAGAACCAGGCAAGGGAGAAGACAGTGGTGAATTGATGTTGGATGACTCCTGAGCTGGTATGTGACATGGCAGATAATAAGATGAGACAGAGGACTGAGTGTGTCATCAGGGTAGACAGAGCGCCTCACAGCTCAGGCAGGGAAGCAACTGAGTCTGGAAATAAACAGGAATGAGCGAGATGAGTGTGGCTAGGAGTTTCCTCTTCTGTGTGTCTCTGTGCCCTTACACCTGCTTCGACTTGTCCTTTTAGTCTGAAATCAGCTCCATTCGGCAAAGCAAAGCAAGTCAACAAACCAAGAAAACCAAAACAAGTTGGCCATCGCTGGCTCTTGACCAGTCCAGAACTCTCTGCCCAAACCGGGGTGGTCAAGGTGGCTGTGGTGTGAGGTCATGGTGGTCACATGCAATTGTCTAGTCTGCAGCAATGTGCAAGGAGGAAGGAGGAGGCCCATCTTGGACAGCGGTGTTGAGCAGACAGTTCAGCCAATGCCTGCACTGTGTCATCGGTGGCCCTTGGCTCAGATGTCCATGTCATGAGAGGGAACCCTCCTTTCAACTTGTTTTCCATCAGTTGTACAAACAGTACTGACTGTGTGCCTGCCCTGAAGCCACAGTCCTCTGAAGAGGAGTTGTTCTCATACCCCCACTGTGGGAAAATGGACTAGGCTGCCATCTTGGATTGCTGCTGTTCTACCTTTTCTGGTGTGGACCACAGGAGGTGTGTTGGGGGCTGAGGTGGTGCAGCTGAGCTCCTACAGTACCTGGCAGGTGACAAGGCAACAGTGGCTGTCCCTTCTTCGCTCTGCTGGGCAGACCCGCTGCTCACAGCAGAGTCCGCCCAACATTCTCTGCTGCTGTAACCTGTCGCATTCCATCTCTTACAGATCCAGACTCTGTCCCTCCGGAAGGTGGAGGGTAAGTCTACAGGGGGTGTCTTAGGTCCTTCTCCTTCCCATCCCCCAGCCAATAGGTGGAGGATTCCTGACAGGAGCCCATGGGACATGTGCTGTGAGGCTCTTTAACTGAGGGAGCAGGGAGCTTCGGGGACTGATGGCATTTGTGTTGAAGGCTTTCATTAGCTGGCAGACGTTCTTGCTTGGCTTGGTCTTCTCTGTAAGGGGGTGGTGGAGGCCATGCGGAGGGGATGAGGATCTTGGTGACAGTCATTAGTGACTGATGGAGCAGGGGTCATGAGTCAACTTTTTTTTGTTGTTTTTTTGAGACAGGGTTTCTCTGTGTAGTCCATGCTAGCCTCAAACCCTTGACCCTTCTGCCTTAGTCTCCTGAGTGCTGGGATTACAGGACTGTACCACCATGCCCAGCTTCTATGAGCAGGCTTCCTACTTCACCATGCTGTAGCAGGCCTCGGAGTGGCCTGGAGTGACAGCACTAAGTAACAATGTGTGTCATGCAATTTTACCAAGACTTCAGATTTGTCATGAATTATCCCCACAATTTAATGTGGAGTGGGCATAACTGTCCCCATTTGCTACACGAGAAAGCTGAGGCTCGGTGAGGTTCTGAGATTTGCTGTCTGCTGCACAGCTAGTGAGGGGACAGAGCTGGGAGGTGAACTCTGCTGCACAGCTAGTGAGGGGACAGAGCTGGGAGGTGAACTCTGATCTCTTGTCCCCAGTGTCTGTGGTTGTGATCACTGCTCCATCTTTCTTCTCTGAAGCACATTTTTTTTCTCTAAGTCACCACCAGCTGTTACTGCTCTTTTCAGGGGTCCAAGAAGCACTGCAGGCTGTGGACACAGAGGAGGACTCTCCTGAGGAAGGTCAGGCCTCTTTTTCTTTCCTGGGTGTCCAGTGCAGAAAACACTGTCTTCACTGTTTAGTTTGTCTTTTTCTTTGGCAGTACTGGGGTTTGAACTCAGGGCCTCATGCTTGCTAGGCTGGTGCTCTACCACTTGAGCCACTCCTCCAGCCCTAATTTGTCTCTACTTAACTGTAATGTGGACACTTGAAGCTGGGCTGGAGGGAACTAAGTCGTGACATAAGTATGGCTTAAGCACCTTGTGTGATTCTGGGTTTCCCAGAATCATAGATGTTCAGTAACTTGCCCAGCATCACAAGGCTGGCAGGGGCCAGAGTCAGGACATGGAGGGGCATCTGGTTCAAATCCTGCCCCTTGCACCCACCCCACTGCCTCTCACCTGGTACTGTCCAGAGCAGCACTGACTTCGCAAAGGCTTTTGCTGTTTCATTCCACATCGTGTGTGCTGTAAACAAATCACGCAGGGCCTCACTAATGTGCAGGATGCCGCCTGGACCTCCTGACATCTCAGGGCCAGCTATTGACTGGGCCTGCCACTCAGCAAGGCCGGGATCGGATGGTTCCAAAGCTACTCCACAGAAATGCCTGGAGAGGGCTTTATGCGTGTCCCCAAAGCATTGGTCAGGGGGTATTTTATATTTTTAATATATTTTATTTTTGAGATATTAATCTATGCATCTTGGCATAGATAATGAGAAGTAGGTGTCTCTTTTGCCCGGTTGTCCAGTCTCTTTGCTAGAGGTTCTGCCATAAATGGTTTCTCTTGAACCCTTCCAGAGACATGGTTTGCAAATACAAGTACACAGGCATACTCATGCCTTTTCATTTTCCCAAATGGGAACACATATGCACACTGTTCTAAATTATATTCTTAACAACTTACTTGGGAAGTCATTTCATATTGCCTTATGTAGAAGTGTCTCGTTATTTTTCAGGGTCTTATAGTATTCCATTAGATTGATGAACCAAAATTTAACCAGCCTTTCACTAACCTCCCTCTGCCAGTGCATTTAATCTTAGGTTATAGTCATCAAAATGAGAATTCCATATAACTCTGGGGAAGACGTCTGTGGACTAGCACAAGGTCTGCAAGTGGGATGAATGGAATCTCCAAGGTTTTAGAGAGGAGGAGGCTGAGATGGGCGAGTCAGAGGAGGCCTTGGAGCTCAGAGTGGTCATTTAATTTTTATCACACTGTGCTGTACCTCTGTGTCTGTTTTTCTACTTCTTCCAGTTGCAGGCCAGCAGATAGTAGCATGACTTGAGGAGTTCATGGAAAGGCAACTTCCTAGCTTCCCCTGCCCAGACAAACTGAGGCAGAAAACATGGCGGGGGGTGGGGGGGCGGGCAGACCCTGCAGGCTGTGTTTTCTCACAGTCTCTCAAGTTTGAGAATCACTGTGAGACCAGTGGCTCTCTCCAAACGGTCTGTCCATTCAGGGAGCTCGTACCTCTCAGAGGACCGTGCTGCACCCCACTCTCCCTGAGGCTGGCGTATAGGGCTGGGCTCTCAGCATCACGAGCAGCTGGGGTCGGGGCAAATGCCCAGGTGTGACTTTATGGAGCAGAATTACCTGGGGAGGGCTGGGGCTGGAGTGGGTGGGGGTCCTTGTTCCAATACAGACTGCTAGGCCTGCCTGCAGAGTTTCTGGTTTGAGAATCTCACATCTCAGCATGTCTTAGGAGTTTTTTAAAGATAAATATTGAAGGTCTGATGTAATTGACCTGGGGTGGGTTCGGTGTGCAGCCTGGGTCGCGACTCACCACGCTCGACCGTGGGCTCTGTGGGAGAGGAGACTTGGGTTTCTTGTGTGTCCCCAGCATCCAACATTGCACTTGTTCAGTAAATGTCTGTTGAGCGAGTGGAAGGGCTCAGCCCAGCTCTGACCGCAGGGCACTGGTGGCCACTCCTGAGACTCCCCCAACTCAGCATGGACCACCCCTTTGTAGCACTTAGCACATTTTCATTTATTATAATGGTTTATTTTGTCACCCTGTGGGTCATTTTCTCTCTGTCCCTCTCTTTGTCTTGTCTTTTTTTTGGTGATACTTGGAGTCCAACTCAGGACCTTACACTTGGTCGTGGGGTGAGGGTGTCAGGTGGAGGCTTGGATGTGGCTGAAGCTGGAGGCAGGAAGACTTGAAACCTGGGACCAGCATGGAGCCCAGGGAACAAGTTACTTTCAGGACTCAAGTGCAAGTCCAAAAGCTACAAGTTAACCTGTGGCAGGACAAACTGAGCCCAGACTGAGAGGTGCAGACTGGCAGGGGATGAGAACGCAAAAGTGGATGGGAGGTCTGAGACGGTGGTACTCAGGAGCAAAAGCACCCCAGCTTCTCGCCAGGGATGAATTGAGAGGGGTCAGTGGCCTTGGCTCCCAGGCTGGATACTGGGGATCACTGGCAATGAGGGCTTGGCAGGTGCAGTGTGGCCCAGGAATTGATTTCCCAGGTGGGCACACTGACCTTGATCGTTGCTTTGTGCTACAGAGCTGGAGGACTCCAGAGACAAACAGAAGGTGCTAGCAGCTCTGAGGCAAAACTCTACTTTGCTGAAGCAGTTCCGGCCCATCCTGGAGGACACCCTGGAGGAGAAACTGGAAGGCATGGGGATAAAGAGGGTGTGTTCCAGAGCCCCACAGCCAAGACGCAAATGTCCTCAGAGAGGCCACTGGTTGTTCTTAATCTTATAGATGCACCCATCTCATTTGTTTCATCCTGGCTCCTTTGGTATCTGGAAGGGAAACCCCACATCTCTCCTGCCAAGCCACAGCGTGGTCTCCTCTCTGTCTCCCCCAGGCTTTTGTGGCCTTAGTGGGCTTCTGATGCCTCCCTGCCCCCTGGCCCTCAGATTTCTCCATTCATCGCTTCCTTCCTTCTGTGACACTCACTAAATTTTCTCACTGAGGGAAGTTAATAGGTCTGTCTGGCCTGTGGACCAGATTTTTAATCATTATTTGAATATTGATTAAAATATTTCTAACCTTGAATGAATCCCTCTTGGTAAATGTCCATCTCCTGCCCATGCAGCAGGTGGCTGTGGGTGGGGCAGGCCCCGAAAGCGGTGGCATTGTGATTAGGGAGAGCATGCACACTGTCCCTAAAGGCATCAATGAGATCTAGCACTAACAAAAACGCATCTTGTTGTTAAGGTGGCCAAACGTCACAGCACTGAAAATGCCATTTGTATTTCAGTCAGTAAGATTAGGAAAAACAAAACAAAAAACCCCAGACACCTCGGTTTAATTCGGTAAGAATGTTCACTAATTTTGGACTGTTTTCAACTACTTCTTAACGTAACCTTGGTCTTCTGTTCAGACTTGATTAAAAAAACAACAACAAAAATACATAGTTGGTGGTACTGGGGTTTAACTTAGGTGCTCTGCCACCTGAACCATTCCATTGGCCCATTTATGCCTGGACTGTGATCTTCATGTTTGTGTTTCTCCGAGTAGCCGGGTACACCACTGCACCCAGTCATTGATTGAGATGGGGTCTCACAGACTTTTTGCCGGGGTTGGCCTTGAACTGTGATCCTCTCAATCACTGCCTCCCAAGTAGCTGGGGTTACAGCTTGAGCCACTGTGGCCAGCTTGCTAGAATGTTTCTAACCTTCAGTGAACCCTCGTCTTGGGTTCAGATGCCTCCCAAAACCCTCCCATGGGTTCTAGGTGGATGTTAGAAGCCTAGGCCACTTGTAACAGTATTATTTTTCTGTAGCTTAGTTTATCAAACATGGTTAGCTAGGAAAACCATGTCTGGCATAATGAAAGCGCTCCAGGATTTGAAAAGGAGCAAGCCATGGTCTCATGAGCTCAGGATTCAGCTGAGTAGTGAAACAATGCCCAGCTAAGTCCTTAATGCTCTGGCATGGATGGAATTGCATTATAGCCATTAGCAGTACCCTGCTATGCACATTTAGGGTGACCCTAAACTGTCACTGTTTCAATAACATGGGGAGCTCACCCTACTTGACCCTCATTTCTTCTCCCCACCCCCACCCTTGCCAACCCCCACCTCCAAATCACACCAGGTGCCAATCACAGAGACTCCCAGGTCAGCAGCCCCAGGTGTGAGAAACAGGGAAAGGACAAGAGAGGTGTCTTTGCGCAAAGGTGAACTTCTGTCTCCTCTAGGACACAAAGGGAATCTCAGTTCAGACGCTGAGACACCTGGAGTCCCTGCTGAGAGTCCAGCGGGAGCAGAAGGCAAGGAGATTCTCTGAATTTCGGAGTCTGAGGGAAAAGCTTATCAAGGAAACCACCGGCAGAGTGAAAAAGAGATGGGAGAACAGGGCTACAGTGCCCCAGCCCGATGGCCAACCTCCAGGTAAGCTGGGACAGGGTTTGCTTGGGGACCATGACCTGGGAGAGTCCTGTTCTTGCCAAGGTTTGTTTGCACACCAGGAGGGAGTAGAGTCCCTGCCTCCTGCTTGACTGAAGGCCTGAGCTGACAGGGTCCCCAATGGTGAGTGAGTCCAAACATCCTCTGTGGGGAAACAGAGTCAGAGGTGGGGTTGAGGACCCTTGTGGTTCTGGTAGAGGATGAAAAAGTAGGTGGGCAAGGACTCTTGGTCTCTGTCTTTAAGGACCTTATGGAGTAAGGGAATTTTCCTTCCTAGGTTTGAGAGGCCCCATTTCTAGAAGATTCCCAGGCTCACTGGTCTGCTGACTTGGAGGCTTTGGGGGGTCTGGGTATACTCACCTCCTCAGGCATGGACCACACATAGCCAGGAGGAAGTCAATTCTGTGTTGTCTCACAGGCCCAATCTGAGGTCTTCATTGTGAAGAAATTTTGCAAAGTATGTTAGTTACAGAATACTTGAGAGAACAACTTAAAGGAAGAAAGATTGCTTTTGGCTCCTGATTTTAGAGGGTTGAATCCATCATGGTGGGCAAAGCACGGTAGAGCAGCTTACATTATGGTGGACAGGAAGCAGAGAAAGTAACAGGAAGTAGCCAACTACCTGCCACAAGTGAACTGCTTCTTCCAGCTAGGCCCCACCTCCTAAAGTTTCTAGAACCTTCCAGAATAGCAACTATCAACTGAGGACCAAGCATCTAACACAGGAGACTGCAGGAGACCTTTCTTATTCAAGCCATAATACGAAGTGTGATCTGTGTTTCTGAGGATGTGACAGATGACTTTAGTTTATCCATGGACTAATCATTTTAAAACTTAATCTTTAGTTTTCTTCATGTAAATTAGAAAAAAGATTTCTGAAAGCAACCATGTGAGATCACAGAAGTTATTACTGGGACAAATCTAAGGCAGGTATAAATGCTGACTCTTTTTTGGTGGCACTGGGGTTTGAACTCAGGACCTCTCACTTGCTAGGCAGACACCCTACCACTCGAGCCACTCTACCAGCTCTTTTGTTATGATGGGCTTTTTTGAGATAGGGCCTCACGAACTATTTGCCTGGGCTGGCTTCAAACCACGATCCTCCTGATCTCTGCCTCCTGAGTAACTGGGATTATAGGCGTGAGCCATCGGCTCCCAGTGAAAAGTGCTGACACTTTATTTTATATAAAATGTTAAATAGATGACAGGATAGTTGGTATAAGAATAGGGTAAAAATGATGTGATGAACTTGGATATGCCATCCTGTTTAGTTTAAACTCCTGATCTTTAAATTTCTGAGGAAAGGGCAGTTCTCAGTGTTGTGGATGCCTCTGACAGAAGGGTGAGTGTCTCGGTTGCTAACCTGACTTTCACACTTGGACTTAAGCTTATGTCCCTTTTCCCAAGTGTTAATTCGTGAATTCATCCATTCACTCCTTCATTAAGTACAATATTTGTACTGCCCCCTCACCTGGGAAACCAGCCAGGACGAGGGAGGTGACGAAGCCAGACATAGGCGTGCTGGGAGCTCAAAGGAGGGTGGGGACAGGGGCTCAGGATGAATGGAGACACCCTTGGAGTGCTGACTTCTGAGAGAAAGGAAAGATATCTTTCCTTCTAGGTGCCACCCTCTCATCTAGGCCCTGTTGCTGTCATCAGGAAGGGGATGAGCACCTCCCTTGCCCTGTCCCCTTCCCTAGCTTTGGGGTCCCTGTTAGTTATGAGGTGAGACCTGTGTTTTTGTGGTGCTCTGTAGGCCTTCCTTTCCAGCTGTGAGCCGAGTTCTCTTCCCACGTCCCACAGGTGCAGTGCTATCACTCATCTGTCTGCTCAAGCCACCCCTCTTCTCTTGCTTGGGATGCAGCGAGGCAGTGGCAGACCCATCACTAGTGTTTGCACCTCTCACTCTCTCCCATGGGATTATGGGCAAGTTCCTTTATCTCTCACAGCCCCTGTGAAGCAGGTCGATGCTGTCTGAAGACTCGGGGGGTGGGGTGGGGGGAGGCGAATGGATGCTGTTTGCAGATTGCTTCACTTGGTGTCTGGTGCAGAGTAACTGCAAGCCCTTGTTATTTTCCCTCCACAAATTTGTCTTTGCCTTTCCCCTTCTTGGAAGGTCTACTTCTGAGTAAATGCATTCTCTGAGAGCAGTGTATCGCAAATATTTTTGACCTTGACCTACTACAGTAAAAATCACCTTTTACATTGCGACTCAATCCACCTGCTTAAGTCCTGGAAAGCACACTGACTCACTATGATGGTACTCAATGTCCTAGCCTCTTGGTGGCTCATGTGGTCCTGTACTGCCCTCTGGTGGCAACAGGGCCATTCTGAAAGGCCACTTGCCTGTCAGCTGTCACACATTGAGAGTGAGTGGTGGTGAGGATCCTGGGGAACTGTCCCAGCAGAGGGCCTCCTGGTGTGGGGCGACCGTTAAATCTGCTGTGGTTATTTTGAGGAACTGAGACAGAGACTTATACATCTCCTGGCGTGGCCCCTCTTTCTCCATCCTCCCTGGCTTGGGGCATGCTCTGAAAGTTGTTCCTTTCTGTGTTTCTAGTCAAAAGCCAGCAGAGCACACTGGTCACTGGAGAGGCCCGGACAAAGACCAGGACCCTGCATGTGACATTGCCATCCAAGTTGGCAGAGCCACCCATTCCTCAGAGTTGCAGCAGCCCTGACCTGACCCAGGTGTCCACCCCCACTCCACGCCCCAGAGCACATGGAGCCCCCAGCATCCCAGCTTCCCCTGGACCTGGACTGAGGTGAGCCCTGGCCTCTGGCCTCCTACAGGGCCCGAGGTGGTGGCCCTGTCCGCCACAGACTTCTGCACAAGGGAGGGCCAGAGACAGACGTGAAGAGGGTGTTCCCAGGTGGGGTCCAACCTGAGCTTCCAAGAAGAGATAGGGGATCCTGCACCCTCCCCGCTTTCTCCATCTCTTGCTCTAGTTGCTATACTGGAAGGGTAGGGACCTCAGGTGATTCCTTGGTGTCACCTGAGCCTGGGGTGGGGGGAGTAGGACTGGCTCTGGGTAAACCCCACAAGCTTGCAAGGTAGCAAAGTTCAGCTTTTAAAGTTTTCTTTCTGGTTCATGTGCCTGTCATTTCTTCACCACGCAGCAGCACGTCCCCGTTCAGTTCTGAAGATGACTCAGATGGGGACGCTGTGCGACACGTGTCTCTTCAGCCCCCAAAGGTTCCCTGTAGGAAGGCACCCCGGCCCGAGAATGACTGGGACTGGTCCGAGTCTGAGTCCTCAGAGGAGAAGGGCTCGGGAGGGCTGGCTTCCTCAGGTGAGTGGAAGCGGCCCTGGAAGACCCCTTTCCCTTTCTTTGCGCTTCTGATCTGGCCTCTCTTTCTCTGTGTGACTTGTAAGACATGCTCCTCCTTCCCCTCAGGTGGCTTTCTGGGATAGCAGAGGTGTCAGGACAAAGTTAGAATTTGAGGGAGTTTCATCCCTGAATTGTTTAGCTGATGGACGCTGGCTGAGCCCCCTCATCTCTGTTCCTCTCCACATTCTCACCAGTGAGAGTAAACACTGGCATCAGACACAAGGAGGTCAAAACCATGTTCTATTAAGGGTGACAGGGCCCAGGTGGGGCTGCCTGGTGTGGCTGCCTTGGAGAAACAGCCAGCACAGTGGGGTCCCCTGTCCACTCCCCAAACCCAGAGCCTAACCGCACTGGTGTGCGGGACTAGATCAGCAAACCAGACCCTGAAGGGGCAGGATCTTAAAGGGGCAGCTGTGGCCTTCAAACTCTGTCACAGGTGCAGGGAGAGAAAGTGGCTTGGGATGCTGTGTTCCACCCATCCGATCTGCTTCCGTGGAAGGGGAGAATAGGGTGGAGGGGAGAAGCCAAGCTAGTTTTTGCCCCATTTTTACTCATCGTGGTTGGTGGAGCAGAGGTACTTTCCTCTGGCAGCTTGAGGCAAGTGACAAAAGGCTTTCCCTCTCCATGGTCCTTGCTGGGTGCTCACCCCGTGCTCAGCTCTGCAGGAGCCCCTCAGTGACTCCTCACAATGCTGACAAGGGAAGTCTGCTATAGAATGTCTCTGACTTACTGTGGTTCAATTTAAGATTTAAATAATTTTTTTTGGTGGTACTGAGGTTTGAACTCAGGGCAAGGGCTCCACTACTTGAGTCATGCCCCAAAACCCTCACCACCAACCCCCTTTTTTTTTGCTTTAGTTATTTTTGGATAAGGCCTTGCATTTTTTGACAGGACTGGCTTTGGACCTTGATCCTTCTTCCTACACCTCTCAAGTACTAGGATTATGGGCTAACACTACCATGCCTAACTTGTTAGTTGAGATGGGGGGGGTCTCCCTAACTTTTTGCCAGGGTGGCCTCAAAGCACAGTCCTCCTGATCTCCTTCTCCCGAGTAGCTGGGATTATAGATGTGTGCTGCCTGGCCTGGCTTCAATTTAGGAATTTTTGATTTGTAGATTGTGCAAAAGCAATATGCTTTCAGTAGAAACCACATGTTAAACAGCCCCTGTCCCAATGCTACTGGAGTTTGAACTCAAGTTCAAAGTGCTTTGCACTTGCTGGGCAGATGCTCTACTGATTAAGCCACACCTTCAGCCCTTTTTATCCTCATTATTTTTGGAGATAAGATCTTGTTTTTTGTGCAGGCCAGCCTGGACCGAAATCCTTCTCTTTTTTATGTTTCCTGCTGTAGCTGGAATGACAGGCGCACACCACCATGCCTGACTTTTTTCCATTGACATGGGATTTCAACTACTTTTTTGCCTAGGTTGGCCTTGAACCACAATCCTCCTAATCTCAGCTTCCCAAGTAGCTAGGATTACAGGTGTGAGCCACTGGTGCCTGCCTCATATGTTGAATTTTGAATGTCTCTTTCCTCGGGCTGGCAATAAGTGTGACAACATTTTCCCCAGATGTAGGACCTCTGCAGCAAGCTGGGTCTCCCCATCAGCTGCGTGATGGTGAGAGAGACAAGCCACACTCCAGTGTCCTCAGTTGTGAGGGGATGGTGTTTAGTGGGCTAAGTGTATCAAATGCAGTTTTTACTTTACAATATTTTCAAGTTATAATGGCTTTTGGGGAACATAACCCCATGGTAAGCCAAGGGGCATCGATTTGTGTGTGGTTCCAGAGGTCGAAGTGAAGTCTCTGAGATGTTGTGACTAGTTTAAGATGACAGAACTAGGTCCTGGGGACCTGAGATTCTGAGTCACTTTTGAGGTAAGTGGGTTGGAATCAGTACTTATTTATTTATTTACCACAAAAGAAAATGTTCCTAGGAAGAACTGCCTTTAGCTGTGCTCCTCGTGTGAGGCACATCTCTGAGTTTTTTAGAAGCACACCAAGGGTTTGTGGTCCCAAAGTTCATGTCACAATGGTAAGAATGGCCTCCAGGGCCAACCTGGCTTACAGTTTTGAGGGAAAACAGTTACCTTCAATAAACACCTTGGCAAGTATAGTTTTCTGAAGTGTACATTAGTTTAACAAATATAACCCACAGCCTCACACATGCTAGACAAACACTCTTCCACTGAGCTACATTCGCAGCCCAAACAAACATAAGTTTTGTAACAAAAGGATCCTCCTGACCTCTGCTTTCCTGTGCCTGGCCTCTTGGGGAAGTCTTGATAGCCCTCCAGGTGAGGCGATAGGCTGGTAAGATAGACGTGAGAGTCAGCAGTCTTTGAAGACAGTTTTGGCTCTGTCACTTGCTACTTGCTTGTTCCTGTGCAAAGGTTTGGGCTCCTTTGTTGTAAAATGAGGTTTTTGGGCAGGTGATTAATAAGAGGGTGAGGAAAACATGGTAGGATCTTAATGAGTATTTCTCGTATTAATGAACCTGACTGAAGGGTGGTGTAACTCTGAAAGTCTGCACAGGCCCCAGGCGTTTGAATCCTACACATTTGTGTGAAATTAGTTCCCTGCTTCTGGGACAGAAGCCCATTGTGTCAGAGGCCCATTGATGATCTGTGTCACCGTTCAGCTCCTGCTTCCTGCATGAACTTCCCAGAAAACTGTTCTGCATCCCTCTTGTGCTCATTTATATCTGACATTTCTTCCTGTCTCTGTGTGAAGACTTTGATGGAGGCCTAACTGAGGATTCTTCATGAAATTCATGAGCAAACGGAGCAGAGGGTCCGCCTCAGACTTTGCTTAGAGAGAAGACCATTGTCCTAAGCCACTACCAGCCATGTCTTAAGTCAGCCTAGTTACATTTTCAGGACATTCTGAGCCCTTTTGAACTGGGCAGCGTCAGCCTGGGTCTTTGTCCCTCTTGTTCCTCCTGACCCTCTCCCCATTCTCTCTGTCCACACTGGAGCCTGGACGGGACTCCCAAGGGTGAAGCATTCATTCTCCATTGCTTGTTCCACTCACACAGCCACTTGTCTCCCTCCTCAGGAACAATGGTGCAGTCGATGATCAAAAACCTCGAGAAGGAGCTTGACGCTCCAGCCAATAAGCCTGCTGGTGGGGTCAGTGTGTTCCTGAGGCCCAACACTGGTCCACAGAGGGCTGCTGCACTGGGAAGAAAGCCTCAGGTACGATGGCGGACACCTGAGATGGCTCTGCAACTGCCTTCAGGGCCAGATCCAATTTTGAGGGGCCTGGAGTGAAGGTGTGGGGGTATCATGAAGTGTCAGCTTTCACCTTAAAGGGACATTGCAGGTGACATTGCCTCTTTTGCCCCTACAAAGATGTGTTAGCACCTTTTAAAAAAGTTTTTTGAGACAGAGTCTTGCTATGCAGCCCAGGCTGGCCTCAAACTTATGATTCTCCTGCCTCCACCGCTCAAGTGCTGGGATTATAGGTGTACACCGCTATGTTCAGCCAAGTTAACATGAAAAGCCCAAGTGTGGTTCATTATACAAGCTGCTGCTCAGTAGGTTTAGTTCTGGGTCTCTGAGAGTCTTGGGAGTATCGTCTTCCTGCTGTTGCTTCTCTGTTCCTGTGGGTCCCTCCCTAGTCCTCACTCCACAGAGAACCCCAACACAAGGCTGTGTGTAGAACACACTCTGCCTCCACCCCAAGGATGGGAAAATCCAGATGCCTTTGTTCTAAATATTCATTAAGAGTGTGTTGATGGCCTCACCGCCCTCAGACTGTAGCTGCTGTCAGCTGTGGTGCCTTCTCCATTACCAGACCCTCCTCTCCCCATCGGGGAACAACTTCCATATTCCCGTTATTTTCTTAGGTAGAAAAATTCAGAGCTCTCTTTACTTCATACTCCTTGCTCATCTTTTCTTTCTTTTTTGATGGGACTGGAGTTTGAACTCAGGGCTTCATGCTTGCAGAGCAGGTGTTGTACCGCTTGAGCCACACCTCCAGCCTATTTTGCTCTGGTTATTTTGGACATGGGTGTGTGTGTGCGGGGGGCGGGGGTGGGTCTCACAAACTATTTGCCCTGGCTGGCCTTAAACCAAGATCCTCCTGATTTCAGCCTCCAATGTAGTTAGGATTATATGTGTAAGCCACTGGCATAGGCCGCAATTATTTTTTATTTTAATTTTTTTGCAGTGCTGGGGATCGAACCCAGGGCCTTATGCATGCTAGGCATGTGCTCTACCACTGAGCCACACCCACAACCCCTCATTCTTCAGCTTTTGATAAACAGGTGGGAGAACCCACACGTTTATTACATAGTGAGCTTGGTTTATCATGGAGCTCATGTAAGAAAATCCAGTTTGTCCCTGTTCCTGCGTAATAATGAGCTCCAAACCTCTCAGACATGCTTCTCTGAGCATGTGTGCTGCCTGGGCCCTGGGTGGTTTCTCTTATACAGCCAGGAGAAGTACATAGAATGCCCTATATGAATGCCCAGGCAGTCAGCAGGGGCCCTGGGAACTCTGGAGGGGAAGGCCTGGCCCCTTGGCTGACTGTGAGCTCTCCCGTTGGTTTGGCCCAGGCCCTTTCCAGGCTGAAGAGCCTGACACTCCCAGTCTCTCACCATGCTCTGTGTTGCCTAGACGGCTCAGAAGCAGTGTGAAGGGAGGGGGACTTTATCCCATGTGCATTTACCTCTAGAGCTTGCCAAGGTCAAGGCTCTGAGCTTCCAGCTCTGTCCATGTGGGGAGTTAAAATTCAGCAGAGATATTCAGAGTTGCTCTGGCCTAGGACTCTGGAGCAGCTTCTCAAAGGCAGGGGGGCTTAGAGGCTTAGAGGAGCAGGAGTAGCGTCAACCTGGTGCTGTCTTCCCAATCTGCATGGTCCTTCACTCTCTGCCACCCCCTGCACTTACCAAAATGCATTTTTATCTCCCCTGTCACCCCTGCAGCTTTCTGAGGACGAAAGTGACTTGGAGATCTCTTCATTGGAAGATCTCACCCAGAACCTGGACCAGAGAGAGAAACCAAAGCCCTTGTCTCGCTCGAAGCTCCCAGAGAAGTCTGACACCAGTGCTTGGAGCTCTGGCCGACCTAGGGTCCCTGGCTGGTGATCCTGTCCAGAACCTGGCAGGCAGAGGACCAACCTTGTCACTTGCTGGGGCCAGCTTGGGTTCCACCCTAACAGAAGAGCCTGCTAGGCCTGTTGCCTTCATCAGCAAGCAAGAGGCCTCCCCCTTGAAGAGAAGCAGAGCAGGGAAAGGATGGGACCTCTCCCGTCAATACCTCTCAGGGGCCCTGTGCCAGAGGTGGCTTTTGGAATGCCCTCCATCCTCCACCTCAAGGCTTGAGAGGCAGTTATCACAAGACCATGTCTGCTCCAGCCTGAAAGGAGTCACTCAGTCACTTTTCCTGAGCCTTCTGTAAATCAGGAGGTCACAGTGGAGGTCAGTCCTATTGGGGTCTTACTGTCTGTCAGCGATTGGTCCAAAGTCAATTATTGGGTGCCTATTGGAGGCTGGGTTCTCTAGCCTCCCATTACTGAGTTGGGGTGTAGGCGGAAGGTGGGCGGTACGGGTTAGTAATCTAGAGACAGAGATTAGGGAGTTTTCAGAGCATAGATGGAGCCTGGGAGGTCTTGGAGAATTTCCCAGAGTCGTGCTGTTTGGTGAGGCCTGTTCATGAGCAGAAAAAAAGGAGAACAACGTGGTTGGGGCCTTAAGTTCACAGGATCACAAATTTAATTTTTGATACCATTTTCAACATTAAGTTATATACACAGACATTGCATTTTTTGAAGTGTGAAAACATTGTTTTATGCAAGCATTTGAAAATAGAATTATAATGTGTATACCTGTCCGTGATTCTTCATTGGTTTTGAGCTTTTCAGGGGTTGAGGGTGGGGAAGAGAGCTGAAGCAGCCTGTACCTCAACTGCCAGTTTAGGTCCTCTGGCGTACACTTACTAAGGTGGAATAGGAGGGCAACAGCTTGTTTGTTTTCTTTTTGGTGGTACTGGGGTTCGACTCAGGCTTTCCCACTTGCAAGGCAGGTACGCTACTGCTTGAGCCACACCTCTACCTCTTTTTTCTCTGGTTATTTTGGAGCGGGGTCTTGCTTTTTGCCCTGGTTGGCCTGTATCTCCATCCTCCTATTTATGCTTCCTACCATACGTTGGGTGCACGCCACCACACCCAGCTTTTTTCTCTTGAGATGGGGGTCTCATAAACCTTTTTTGCCCGAGCTGGCCTAGAGCCCTGATTCTCTTATCTCAGCCTCCCAAGTAGCTAGAATTACAGGAGTGAGCCATTGGCTCTTGGTTAGGGTAACAGTTTTATTGAAGGGTCACACCTTGGAAAGGTAAAGAGAGAGAAAGTGGGATTGGGCAGGGAATGGCTACAGAGTGCTGGGGCCAGCTTAGAAAGAGAGGGGGAGGCAGACAGGAGCCAGGAGAGCCCCTAACTATACACAGGGCTGACAAGGTCTCCACTGCATTGGGGCGGGGAGCCGCAGAGCAAGGGCTGCCCACTACGGAGTCCCCATTGGGCAGAACTGGCCAGGCCCTGGTACCTGCACTGTGCTTGACCGTGGCTAGGATGGCCTAGGACAAATGAGACCTCAACTTGAAAGCTGAGGTGAACACCTCAGCCGACCTCATTCCTATAGTTGAATGATATTTTTTCCCAAAGGCTGACTCAGTCATGTACCTTCATGTCTCCACAGCAAGATCTATTTGTTACTTTTGTTTATGGAAAACTTGAAATGTACAAGCAGAGGGAATAGCATGGTGAGCCCACCTTCATCGCTGGGCTTAGCCATTATCAACTCAACCTGTGGCTTTTTTCATCCCTTAGCAGCCCTCACTCTATTCAGGCCTCTTTTGGCCCCTGGGAGGTCCTCATCCCTGGGTGGCCCTGAAGTTCTTGCAGGAGGATCTTTGGGAAGGATAACGGATTGTAGAGAGCAGAGATGATCTGGCTGTGGGGGAGGGGGAGGTGTGGGGCTTCTGACTATGAAGCAAGCTGTTCAGTAAGGCTGGAGCCTTATGTGGGCACTGGGACCTGTGCAGCCCTGGCTGGCCGTGGGTTAATTCCCTTCGTGCATCTCATTTTGTTGGACAGCTGAGAATGTGTGCGACAGGTGATCCCCAGTAGCTATGTGAGGCAGAAGAAGGGGCAGTGAGTGGCAAATGGTGGTGGTGTTTATTGGCCTCTTAGGATTTTACCACAAAGTCACATTTTCCTGTTTACTGGGGATGGGCAGAAGATGTGTGTGGTTGGGAGCCAGTGGCTCAAGTCTGTAATTCCAGCTACTTGGGAGGCTGAGATCAGGATTGTGGTTTGAGGCTAACCTGGGCAAATAGTTCTTGAGACCCCTTCTTCAAAATAACCAGAGCAAAATGGACTGGAGGTGTGACTCGAGCATCTGCTTTGCAAGTGCAGAGCCCTAAGTTCAAACCTCAGTCGCACCATAAATAAACAAATAAATAAATAGATGTATTTGGTGCTCCATCCTAGTTTCTCTGGTAACATTGTGATCCCACAGATCTGAGCACACCTTCTTTGCAGCCTCCCACGCCATGCATGTGTCCTGGGGTTAACCCGGGGCCACTGGGTTCTCCATGATGCTGATGCCCTGCATGTTGTATACTCTACTTGCAGGGCAGCCTGCAAGTGTAGCAGAGCTGACACCTCCAGGGCAACCCACAGCCATGGTGGGACAGAAGCTGGAGAGTGATCACTCCAGCCTCCCCCTGCTTCTGTGGCACAATTCTGATCTCTATTCTGCAGTTTCTTAGAGAGTCCCTGATGGGGACACAGCCATTACTACTTATGATGCAGGCTTTATTGGAACTCCAGTCTGTTTCATTTTTGTCACTCCCTCACTTCTACCTCCTGTGAGCACCTCTGAGATAAATTGACCTGTACCCAAGTCCTTGCTTCTGAAATGAAATCAGTAAGTGCACGTGCTCGCACACACACACACACACACACACACACACACACACACACACACACTCTGGTAATAATTACCAACGAGAAAGACTCTGTCCTTTTATGTTCATTATTACAATAAATGCCTCCAAGTGTAATTTTCTGTCTTCTTTGTAGACTTTGACTAACATATTACACTGACATCTCTATGCTGTTTATCCCTCTTCATTTCAAACCGTGTAGCATGGGTTTCAGTCCAGGCTCTTGAGAGAAACAGATCAATAGGATACAGATGGAGATAGACTTATATGAGAGGAATTCGTTGGCGGAATTGGCTCACACAATGATGAAGGTTGAGAAGTTCTCTGAGGGGCCATCTTACAGCTGGAGACCCAGGAAAGAAAGCAGTGTGGCTCAGTCCAAGTTTGAAGGCACAAGAGCCAGGGCAACCAACTGTAAAACTGTCAGTCTAAGGCCATCGACCTGAGAACCTGGGTGGTGGGTGGTGATGGTAGTGGCCAATGATCCTAGAGTCTGAAGTCCGAGAAATTGGACTTATGATGTTGAAAGGCAGAAGATGGGTGTTCCAGCTCGCATGTACACATGTGAGTTAGATGGAGACACAGGTCGGGGGGTGGGGGAAGAGAGAGGGAGACAGAGGGAGACAGAGGGAGAGAGAGGGAGAGAGATTGACTGCCTGTTTTTCACCTCTTTATTCAATCTGAGCCCAATCTGAGCCCTCAGCCAGTTGGAGGGTGTCCGTCCACATTGGGTGAAGGTAGATCTTCCTTACTCGGTTTACAGATTGAAGTGCCAGTTTCTTCTAGAAGCACTCTCACTGACACACCCAGTAATTACGCTTTACCGGCTACCTGGAAATCCCATCAATCCCATCAAATCACACCTAAAATTAACAGGAAGATTTGTAAGAACTGAGGAGCATATGTAACAGCTACTTAAAAATTATACCAGCAATAAGATGAATGTAGAAAAAGTAGCAAATACAGATAATCAAAAAGAAAATCAACTTGAATGATCCCCAAATTCAGAGCCAACTACCATTAACATCTAGATATACCTGCACTGATGAAAAATAAACTTGTTCCTAGGGTTCAACTATATTCCTTGGAAATATATATATATATAATATAATTTATAAATAATTTATAAATTATATGTAATGGCCACATAGTGTTCCAGGCAAAGATTACCAAAATGTATTTAACAAGCCATTTCCACTTGCTGCGCTTTCTAAAGCAGGAAGTGATTTTCAAAAATGTATACATTCTTGTGCACTTAAGATTTCCTTAGAATCAATCCATGGAGGTGAAGTTGCTGGGCCATGATCACAGAGAGAGCCAGTGGTCTATGCCAGGCTCTGGTTTAAGTTCCCTAAGAATATGTTTTAGGTGACTGTTACTTTTCTGTTCCCTAAGATGCCCAGCAGTTAAGGAACGTGCTTGGAGTCGTGCCACCACTAGGTGGCGCAACTGGGTTGTGACCTGGGCTTGCTGGCCTCCCACTCCTGTGTACTTTGCAAATTCAGCCAAAAGTGCTCTCCAGAAAACCTGAGTCAATTTGGGCTATGCAGTGGCTGAGAGAGCTCCTTTTTACATTCTCTTGCCACCACGAGTATCATTGATCAAACATCTTGCAATGTTTGCCAATGTGAAAATAAAAATGAAATTTCCATCTTTTAAAAATTTGCAGTTTTAGATTTCTTCAAAAGTGGGATTCTTTTTTATTCTTTTTCATATCGATCATTTCTGTTTCTTTTTAATGAATTGCCTCATCAAATTCTCAGTCCTTTTTTTTTCTAATCTCTAATTTTGTTGAAGAGAGAGTATAAGCAATAATAGGAAGGAACAAGGGTTTTTGCTGGTTGAGATAAGGATAGCTATACAGGGCATAGACTCACATTAATTTCCTGTGGGTGTGTGTTAACTTCTAGGTTAATTCTTTTTGATCTCACCTTTCTCTAGTTCCTGGTCCCCTTTTCCTATTGGCCTCAGTTGCTTTTAAGGTATCTGCTTTAGTTTCTCTGCGTTGAGGGCAACAAATGGTAGCTAATTTTTTAGGTGTCTTACCTATCGTCACCCCTCCCTTGTGTGCTCTCACTTTTATCATGTGCTCAAAGTCCAATCCAATTGTTGTGTTTGCCCTTCATCTAATGTGAGACCATTTCTTTTGATGAACAGAAGCTTTTTAGTTTTATGAGGTCCCATTTATCTATGCTATTTC